TTATACCATACCCTTGTATATATATATTCAAGTATATCAGGTTTATTCCCGAGGATCCATAACTTTCAATAGGAGGGTTCCGGAAAGAGGAGCATAAACTTCCTGCTCATTCCAGTTCAAGCGCATGTAATAAAAATAGGGATATACTAAATTCCTTGTTCATGAACAAGCATGTTTAACATTTAATAACGATTGGTTTTAACGAGGAAAAAGAGCATTTAAACAAAAACAATATACAATTAGCTAAAATATAAATACTATTATATCCAAACATATTTCGCTGAAATCCGTTTTTATAGAAAAAAAAATAATGTAAATATAGACTGCATATGTGCTTATAGCGATTAGGTTAAAAGCTTTAATCTTAAGTCTAATTTGAAAAATCTAAAACAGATATAATCTTCTAATCTCTGCAAATGGACTAATTAGTTTTCATGTTGAATAAAAACACATCCCTTTGTTATGTTTTACATTTTCCTTGTTTTTCGATAATTATCAAGTGAACAGTAACGATAACAAATCTCAAGTATTAATAGCTTAAAATTTATTAATATTAGTATTTATTTATCGGAATTACAAATGGTTTTCATAAATTCAAGAACAAGGGAATATGAAATAAGAATATAATAAAACATGAGACAATTGTTTCAATATAGTCACTATAATGCCAATGTATGGTCATAATTAGAAATATTTCAACCATACAGACTTATGTCTCCGAAATGCAGGCAAAGAATGAAAAAACCGTCCACCTATTTTTTTTTTTTTTATTTAATGGTAGGCTCGTTGATTAAAATAACGGCATATTCCGATGGAATACTTTTGTCTTTTGATGTAGTAGGGACCCACAAAAAATATATATATATATAATTAATTAAAATTATATATTGAATAAATATATAATTTTTTAATATACATAAAAAATACATTTTTTTCAAACATTATAGGTTATCACGGTGTGAATATTTGCTTTTACAAGTATCTACTCTTTCTTATTGAAACTTTTACAAACGAAATAATCTAAAGTAATACAATCACCAAAATGTAATTCAATTTTTCAATGAGTTTTTTTATTTAATAGGTTTTCCTCGAAATATTTCAAAAGATCTTGCTCATAAGAACAAAATGGAAATTCTGTAGCGATAGATTTAGTGTTCTTGGGTAAAGACTGTATATTTCATATTATTTACTAGTGTTCCTCAAAATAGGTCTTTGTCTTGCCCTTTGCAAGACCAAGACCAATACCAAGGCAGCCTCACTGTTGGAATACCAAAACCAGGACTTTTAAAAAGAATCGATTTTTTGTATAAAAATCAAGGCAAAGTAGTTACTGATACTTGACAATCTTAGTTGCTATATGTAAATAATTGGTATAGCCAATATACTTTTGCTTCAACTCCACTATTATTTTATTCGGGATTAGTTAGGTTTCTCCTATCTAAAAAATTACAGTAATATCTCTATTGCAATATGCTAATAAGTAACTGCATGACCGTTGCGACACTCTTGCGCAAGACCAAGACCATGACCAAGGCTGAGTTTGCAATACCATGCTCGTATCTGTCTCCCAATTTGGGCAACACTAGTATTTACAAGTTTTCTAGAATTTTTCTGTTACGATAGCTCTTCATAAATGTTCAATTCATAATATAATTTTTAAAATTATTTAATGTATATTTGTTTGATACCGGTTGAAGTAAAAGGAAAAACTGAAAAGTGCGGTTTAACTTCTGTAACTAGTGTTGCTCAAAATCGGTCCGGGTCCATGCACTTTGCCAGACCATGACCAATCCCGCCTAACTATTGCAAGACCAAGACCAAGACTGGTAAAAAAAATCGATTTTTCGAATAAAAAGTAATTCTTAGCTACTAATACTTGGCAATTTTAGTTACTATATGTAAAGAATTGGTATGATCAATATTCTTTTGCATTTAACTCTTCCAATCTTTCATTCTGATATAGTTAGGTTTCTTCTATCTAAAAATTACAGTAATATCTCTAAAGTATTTCTCTAATAGGTAACTGCTAGAATGTTGCGAGACTCTTGGCGTTCTTCTTATGGCGCAAGAACAAGACTGAGTGCACAAGACCAAGACTGAGTGTGCAAAACCAAGACTCGTCTTTTGGGCAACACTATATAAACACCTAGCAGAGGACCGTAAAGGCAGTTTTACCCACTTGAAATTTTCGACACTATACAGAGTAATTCAGTTCTTAATGGCCGAAATCTAGGAAGTGATTATAGACAAAATTTTCAACAAAAAAGTTCATACCATGCATGTGTCAATTTTGAACGGAAAAGTGCAATTTTTTGTTTAACTTAAGGTGTTTAATTTATGTAATTAATAACTACTTCATAGTAAACTAGACAAAATTATACTTTTAAGACGACTAGGGCGAAGATTTTCAGGCCAAAATCTACACTCAATACAATAGGAAATTTATGAAATTTGTATTTAAAATTTCGTGATTATAACTTTTATCTTATTTATATATATTTTTTTTCATATATATATATATATATATATATATATAATTATATATATTGAAGCACGGTTTCAAATTGCAAATCGCTGGAGAGAAACCTACGCATGAAGCAGAAAACTCAATAACAAAGAGCTTTATTCACCAACAGAGAGATGTGGCATTAGCTCTCTACCTAATTGGCGGAGGTTATCTTAACATCATTACCCTTCCACCAATTATTTCCATTTATTAAGCACATGATGTTTGTAGAGGAGACATAGTTTGTTAGGGATGGGTACCCGCTTTGTACGAATAATCTGAGCCCTTTGATCTTAGCCGCTAAAGGGCAAGTAAGAATTCATTTCCTCTTGACCTGAAATAAACTGAAATTGTTGGTTAGTCCAATTATGCTACTGAAATATGTATCTGAAAAATTGAAATCATACATAACTTTTCTCCCATAACTTAAAATATTGAAAATTTTTCGATCACATCTCCTTTGGGATTGCTGCAGATAATTTACCGAGTTCATGGCGCTCTTGACAATACATTACTATGACCATAAATACTAATTTTAAAACAGAAAACAACATTAAATTAAAGATTTTTAATAAAACTAGTGCTCATTTCAGATCTATAAAAAAAAATGTATTTTTGAATATTTAATAGTTGGCCGTTGTACTATAAAGGAAGGAGATGGTCCGAGGTGGTGGTCATAAATAGCCTAAATAGTGGCAAAACTATTTTATTAAAAGCCAACGTTTCGACCCGACTTTGCAGGTCTTCTTCGGGGAAGTGTGTTCAGCTAGGAGTTTCACTTAAAACTGAGTTTAACCTATTTCTAATTTACTATTTCACGGGTGGTTAGCAAATCGTATTCTCCACTTTTGTTTTTCTTTCTAAAATAAATAAAGTAGATACAAGCATTTTGCTAGGCTTCAATACTGGAACGGTGGTAGGTCTGTAGATCGATACGGGACAAATTGGATCTTGAAGATTTTGATGCGTACAGCAAGACCCGGATAGTTCCTCCGGAACTATCTGATCCTGCGTTTTTAAGTCCAAAAACGTACTATTTTCGAGATAACGCAAGGCATAGGGTTCGCATCCACACAATCTTACATTAATTGTAGTACTGTCATTGAATACATGTCTCATTTCGTCGACTTGAGGTCTCTATGATCGAGAGAGGAGGAGTTTATATTATTTATCGATGGTGTTTTTGATCGGCATATCATCGCTTCCCTTGACTATGCCCATGATTATATAAAAGATTACTAAATTCTCTACAAAAGGAAAAAATGTTTAGCAAAGATACAGCTTACTGAAATTAGTATAGATGTTGGTTCCAAACAAAAATAAAGATTTAAATCAATTTTTGTTTTCTTTGTCGATTATATTTATCGATACAGTAACATTTGATTTCTTTATCTTTTGATAAGTTGCATTATTTTATTTTATTATTAATTTGGCATTTGATAAGAATAGGCTGTGCGAATTTTTCCCACTCGGCTACTAGTTATTATTATTATGTTAAATGAAATTATTTTTGTCTTGAATTTTATTATTACTCACTGTCCTCATAACCAGGATTCGAAATAGATAAAAATATAAATCAAATCCAATCCAAATTTTTAAAAATCATTTTATGATTTCTATTAAGAGCGATTTTTATTTCATTGAGTTTCCCATGGAATATTATTTATACCAATAATAATATTCCGTCCGAAATAGCCGATATGCCGATATTGATACCGGCATCGGTCGATCTCTAATATATATATATATATATATATATATATATATATATATATATATATATATATATATATATATATATATATATATATATATATATATATATATATATAAGAGGCCGGGGTATTTACATTTGCCCAAGAGACTCCGAGCCTGACTTTTTCCATCACGTGTGAAAGGCAAAGTCTGTTTCCAGGAGGTCCTAGCGTTTCCCTTCCATCCGCGTCACTATACTGGAAGCCAGTAAAGACTGAGAGAGAGAGAGAGCATTTGATCCACAAACATCCAGATATAGAGTGGAGAAGCCGGCCATTGACAGGACTCCATTAACATATTTAAAAAATGTCTCGAGGCCACTGCCGTTCCAACCTTTGGGGAGGATTATAGGTATGGTTGGAGCTAGAATAAGGAATGATGTTAAGGATCCCATAAGACCTATGGGACGTTGAGGTCATAGTGTGGGGTCTTGTTTGTGAAATAATATGGAGCGGACATAATACGGAGCGATACCCTGAATTAAGAAGAAAAATGTATATTAACAACGAAATAAAAAATGTAATTACTTCATAAATATAATCAAGTAAATGAAACAAAAAAAAAGTTACAAAAAGTTAACAATTAAAAGATTATCGTAATTAACATTTCGATTCGGCGTTTTCCTCAATTCCTCGACTTCATTCAACAATGGCATGGGATGAATTTTGAAATTATCTGTTAATGAATTTATATTGTATTTTCGGATATAGCTCGCTAATTACGGACTTTTCACGTTTCCTCAGTTAGGGAGTGGTGGGATGGAATGCTGAAGTAGCCAGGCCACCGTACCACCAAAGCCCCACTTACCTTCCCCCCGCATCACAATTCTCTCTCCCCCCATCTCCAGTTCCAATCGCACCGTTACTGTTGTACGAGCGATATCTTCAGCAGCATCCCCAAATGAAAAGTCAGCCTGTTAAAATGAAACGTTTTATATCTGTTGATTTATAAAAATATTTGACTCTATTTTTTTTTTTTTTAATTTTTGGAATGAAAACTTGTTTAGGGGCGCTTAACACTTCGTTTTTAGGTCATTGAAGGTGACTTAATAGACTAGGAGCTACCGACCATTTCATTTAAGCTAGTACCATATAAAATATGAGGATTCCAAAATAGACGTTTGTCTAAGTGGAGTCCAAGGTATCGAATTTGTTCTACAGTATTTAAGACCCATAGACTTAAAGCTAGTACTCATTTTATATTCCAGATAAACCTCATTCGAATGCACAATTTCGATCAGTCAGTTGAAATCCATTTATAAAATTTAAATCTAAGAGCCGAAATTCGACGGTTCATTTAACGAGAACAAACTCACAAGCCTTGAAGAATGGTGTCAAAACTGGATTATTAAAATAAATTCTAATAAATCCCATCAAATCACCTTTACCCTTCGACGTAAACCTATGACCTCATGTCCCACAGTATCCTTTAATAATACCCCACTTATCCCTGTTGAACAAATCCGATACCTTGGACTTCACTTGGACAAACGTCTAACTTGGAATCCTCATACCAGACTGAAACGACAAGAAACCGCTCGACGTTTCCGACTACTCCAACACATACTAGACAAACGCTCTAAGTTTCCAGTTAATTACAAAAGACTTATATACATGACTACAATAAGACCTATTTGGACTTACGGAGTTGAGCTTTGGGGCTCCACTAAGCCATCGAATTCCTCTCGTATCCAATCCTTACAATCCAAAATCCTTCGGAAAATCCTCAATGCTCCTTACTTTGTCACCAATAAAATAATCCATAATGACCTTAATGTTCCTTATGTTTACGATTTGGCCCAATCCAGATACCAATCCTTCCATAATAAACTTCAGAACCATCCGAATCCTCTCGTCTATAACCTTGCTTCCTCTTCTATTCCTGATAACCCTCCGAGGCGTCTGAAAAGAAGATGGCCTCGCGATCTCTTATTGTAAATACATTTTGTTTTAGAGTGCTACCAGTAGGTAGTTTCTCAACAAGTCATTTCATGTTATTATTTTCTGTTATCAAATTTACTTAATGTATTTAATTTTTTAATACAGTTGTAAATATCATGAATAAATAAAAAAAAAAGTTTAACATTTTTTTTTAAGTTTAAGAACATAGGGCTGAAATTTTGATATGATGTCAGGAATATATTCCTATAAGAGAATTCGCCTTGCCGATGTACTCTGTTGCAGTTTGAAAATATTTAAATAATATTTATCAATAAAAAAGTAAAATATATATATATATATATATATATATATATATATATATATATATATATATATATATATATATATATATATATAACGAGTTTGATTAAAATCTTTAGAGCTGTTTTCGATAAAATCGATGAGAATAAATTCACTTGCAATTAACTGATTTTGATAAAAATGTTTTTGTAACTTTCTATAGAATATGCCTACATTAAATAAGTAATTTTTATTTTCGTACGAATTTTCTTTATTGAACTTTGAGATCTTAAAACGTGTATTTAAGTTGAAAACATGTATTGGACAATTCTTTTTTATTTAATTATTATTTGTTTTTTAAGACTTAGTTTTTATTTTTGATATTTAAATAATTAAATCCGGTCGAATAATCCGAGTTTTGGACATGGAGGGTTTGGATAAATCGGATGCTTACTACTTAAATAAGGAATAATTTGATGACTTTGAATATTTTAAATCTTATCATCTTAAATGAAAGGATGTTTGTTCTGTCAATGTAATTTAATTTTTTTTGCAATGTTTCTTTAATTATATTTAATGATAAGTGATCAAAGACTAGTTGTAATTGTTTATGAAATTTACTTAATGGCGAATAAGCGTGAAAAGATATTATAGAAAAAAGGTCAAAATTAGACATATTAACACAATGTTTCAAATTTATTTCGTTATACAGAATGTTTCAGTTCCTAATGGTCAGATTTTATTCAAAATTTTGAATTAAAAATTCTCCATATTGTTAATTATAATTTATAAAAATAACTAAATACACCACTCGATTTTTTTTTTAACATAATCGTAAATGTTAAGATTAAAAACATTCAGTTAGTTATTTAATAGCATAAGGATCGATTTTCACGATAGATGTCAGTGTTATAAACAATGATTCATTATCACTTTAGATAATACATTTTTGAAAAAGCAGTATTTTTTTTTCTCATAATTAGTTTTCTGTAATAGATTATATACCCCTCTCCCACTAAAAAAGGAACTAAAACTTTGAAATAATTTATCGGTTGTTATTTTTGCTAAAAATGACAGATACTCTAGAGTGACATATTATCGAATCACATAATTTTTCACACTAACAGAGTTGAATCTCAATTATATTATAAAAGAAACCTCAAAGGAATCGATATGCAATTAAAGGTAATTAAACAAAGAAGATTTCATATAATTTGATTGAAAAGTTGAAAGATGATTTGTTTAAGAAAATTTTTATTTTGAAATATAATAATCTGTCTCATGGACGATAATTATAGTGATATATGAAACCATTCACGCAATATATACAGAAAATATAAAACTAACAAAAGTAAAATTATAACTAAATAATAATAAAAACATATGTACAATAAAAAATAAAGTAACCTACAGATGAGTAAATTAAAAACATAAAGACACAGTCATACCAATATAAAATATATACAATCAGGCAGGGAACCTCAAGCCAGGCTTCTCCTTCCAACTATTGAAGGAAAAGCAGTATTCCAAGAGATCCCTGCGCTACTCTCTCAACCGCGTCACTGATGCGCGTCATATGATTTAATGAAAAAGAAAACTTAGCGTAGTTTGGCCTCTCCCAATGGTCCCCTTTAAATGATATTACAAGATAAAATTTACTTAGCTCACTCTTTTCATATTTTAATGTACTTACTGTTTATAATTTTAAAAAGCTTATTCACATTATTTATAATTTCTTTGTCTAAATATTATATAACTTCCACAATTCTCTATCTTTTTGTATCTTGTCCGTTCTAGCCCTGGAGAAGACCTGCAAAGTCGGGTCGAAACGTTGGCTTTTAATAAAATTATTTTACAACTATTTAGCCTATTTATGACCGCCACCCCGGACCACCTCCTTCCTTTATAAAATTTACTTGCATTTGAAGGGAATTTCATCTAGTTTACTATAAAGCAATTTTTAATTACCTGAATTAAATCATTTTTTTGGTTATCGTTTTCTATGAAAGACAAAACCTGACCACCTTAAGAAAAGACAGAATCGGACATAATTCCTTTTTCTTTTGAAACCTCCCAGAGTTTCACTATTATCCTGTATAAACAAATTAAGTATGACCTTGAAGATAGGCCAAATGCTTACTCTGGCTATTTATTTTGATGCGTATGTATGTCGATGGTAGAAATTGCTAGTCTAGAGTGGCTTACTCCTCGAGGGACATTCTTGGAGGCTAGGCTTGATAAGCAGTAAGTCACTACGGGGTCAAGAAGGGTGCTTTGACTTGATGGCCCTTCTTGTAGTGGCTGGCTCAACTTAATTAGTCAAGACGAGGGCTGATACAAGACCCCTATCCTGAAGCTTGTACCAACCCATCTGGACAGAATTAAATGAAATTTCTCCTCTTTAGTAAATCGCTTTGGGGAGCAGTATATATGGTACACAAGTCGCACAAATATTCTGTGGTGTGGAGATTTTTCTGGCGTATTAAATTAGTTCAAAATAAATCTTTGTTGGCCTAATGAACGCAAATTAAAAGTCCTTTACTCGAAGTCCACTTTGGATGGCAGTATTAAATCAGACATCTTCATCTGTAGACGTAAATTCAATAAACTAAGATACAAAATGTTTATTTAAAACAGCAGGAGTTTATTTTCTAAGTATTACATAATCTAAGCAAATTCGCATATTTTGACTGCCAAATCATCAACAGTTCCTTATTTTTAAATTTTAAAAGTACTACGTGTAAGCCAGTTGATTGTCATTTAAATGTCAATTTAGAAAAATAGCTAAAAAGTTACGTTGAGCTTGATATTTATGTTTTATGGTAACAGTAAGGAATACCTATATTTTTCAAAAGATTCCAACTTTTAAATCAGTGATTAACATATTTATCAAGTTAAAAATCGATATAACAACGAATTCTTCTGCGAATTTATTGTTCTTTTTATCTTTAAAATAGTGTGAGAAAAAGTTACAGTTTATAAGTGTGGTTTATCGATTTATTTCGTAATTTAAAAGTTTCTCTAAGTTTAACTCCCACCAAAATGCGATTTCTCTCAAAAATTCAAACCCCATACACATGTCACCTCTTCAAAAATTTATAATCCAGTTAAAATTTACCTCCATCCACCCTCTAAAATTTCCAACTTGTACCATATCTTATACTTTTGAGCACCTCTGATTATTCGCCATCCACTTATGTACTCCAATAAAATTATCTTCAAATTCTTTTCATTTTTATTTCAGATTATTGTAGGTATGACTGTGTTTTTATGTTTTTTAATTTACATATCTTCAGGTTATTTTATTTTTTTATTGTACATAGTTTTTGATTATTATTTTACTTTTGTTAATTTTATATTTCCTGTATATATGGTATGATTGTGTTCATATATCACTATAATTATTGTCCACGTGACAGATTGTTATATTTCTAAAGAAATAAAAAATTCAGATTAATATAAATTCTTTTTTTGTTATTTTACATTTTGCAATTCTTTTGCAATATTCGAATATTGTACTTAATTCAAGTAGTAAAACATTTCTTATTCCAATAATTATTTTTAAATTTGATCAGTTTGAATTATTAATTTCATGGTTCAGGATAAATGTTGAGCGATAAAAAAAAATAGAAATTGTATACATTCCCATTCGCTCCATTTAAAACAACACTAAACAAGGAAAGGAGGTTATAAAAATGCAATTGGGACTTTTTTATTTCTTTTGTTGCCTAGTTTGTTTCAAATAGGTTTGGGAGCTTGTTTCAGGGGTTTGTTAAGAGTTTGCTCTATCTGTATTCAAGGGAACGCACATATTCGGGACTGGGGACTTGTAATAAATATGTAATGTATCCGGTCTAGAGAAAAGTCCGTAAAACATAAACGAAAGATTGTGACTAACAAAAAAGTCAGCTGTGGATGTAAGGGTTGAGGAGGGCATAACCGCAACTTTTTAGTGCTCGTATGGGCTCAGCTCTTTCCCAGAAACATTTACGAGCTCTACAACTGTTGGTGACTAAGGCCGGGGCATGTCTAACAACTGTTGCCCTTGGTACAAAGTGTTGGGTATCATTGGTAAAGTCTTAGTTGATCGCTTACTCTATTTTTATTGTATAATACAACCGGATAAATAATTCAGATTCAAGACAATAGATTTTGAACCCCGAGCTTAAGTGGAGTGTAATAATAATAATAACAATAATAATAATAACCTTTATTTGTGCATACAATGAAAAAACAAAGGATAAAATATACAAAATCTCTTATATGTACAAAACCAACTTAGTTGAGGTTTTGAGTTCGATTTCTTTCTTTTTTTTTTTTTAATTTTTAATATATTTTTTTTTATTTCTTTATGACATTTACAACTGTATTACACAAATACATCAAGTAAATTTGGACATAATTGATATAATGACATGAATACACTTGCTGAGTAACTACCCAATGGTAGCACTCTAATGATATGACTACATTAGGAGATCACGGGGCCATCTTCTTTGCAGACGCCTCGGAGGGTTATCAGGAATTGAAGAGGAAGCAAGGTTAGAAACGAGAGGGTTGGGATGATTCTGAAGTTTATTATGGAAGGATAGGTATCTGGATTGGGCCAGATCTGAAACATAAGGAACATTAAGATCTTTATGGATAATTTTATTAGTGACAAAGTAAGGAGCATTGAGGATTTTACGAAGGATTTTTGATTGTAAGGATTGGATGCGAGAGGAATTCGATGGTTTAGTGGAGCCCCATAGCTCAACTCCGTAAGTCCAAATAGGTCTTATTATAGTCAAGTATATGAGTCTTTTGTAATTAATGGGAAGTTTAGAGCGTTTGTCTAGTAAGTGCTGAAGTAATCGGAAACGTCGAGCGGTTTCTTGTCGTTTCAGTCTAGTATGAGGATTCCAAGTTAGTCGTTTGTCCAGGTAGAGTCCTAGGTATCGGATTTGCTCAACAGGGATAATTGGAGTATTGTTAGAGGAAACTGTAGGACAGGAAGTCGTTGGTTTACGACGAAGGGTAAAGGTAATTTGGTGGGATTTATTGGAGTATATTTTTAATATTTAACTTTCTTGTAACCACACTAGGTAATGAAGCTGTCCCATCCTTTTCCATTCTTTCCTCTCCAATGCTACTCTCTTCCAGGCTGCTCCCCCGCAGGTCTTCATCTCCTTGTCCATGTATGTCGGGGGGCGTCCTCTCTTCCTCACGTGCTCTCTTGGATACCAATCCATAAACTGCCTGGCCCATGTTAATTCATTCCTCCTGATTACATGTCCGGTCCAGGTCCTAAGTGGAGTATACTAGAACTATTTTTACAACTGGTTTGCATATGAAGAATTACATGATTCTAACCATTAGTATTTCATTTTTTTTTTTAACTATATTTATTGAGAGATATTACAATCTTTCACAAATAAGGACATTTATAATAGTGTTCAGAGAACACATCCCAAGCTCTATCAACAATAAGTAAAAATTAATAATACAGAAAAAACCAATAATACTAAAAGTAAATGTATATAAACTAAACTAATAAAAACAACAACTCACATACACACAGGCTTCTATACAATATCTAAAAAAAAAATAAAAAATCATTCACCCAAGATCTCCAAGCCAAGCCTTTCTCCCCACTCGAGGAAGGAAAGGCAGGACTCTAGAAGATCCCAGCACCTCTAAATCAGCCGCATTACTGGTATTAAGGATCAAATGAAAAAAAAAAAAAACGTGTGTCGATAATCAAGTAACGATAGCTATTCACTTCCCGATTGATATTTTTATAACAGAATCAAATCGAAAACAAAAATTAAGTGAATATTCGTCTCTCTTTTTCTGTTATATTAACATAACACTTAGGCACTGCTCTGAGCTATATGCAAAAGACTTTCTCCATCTAATGGTTATGCTTTTTGAACTTCATTAGGAGCATTGAAAGATTCGAAATGGGAATTAGAGAAAACAAAATTAATAGAAAGATTGTAAAACTGAAAGATAAATTACCTTTACCCTTCTTCGTAAACCTATGACTTCCTGTCCCACAGTTTCTTTTAACAATACTCCACTTATCCCTGTTGAACAAATCCGCTACCTATAGGATTCCACCTGGACAAACGTCTAACTTGGAATCCTCATACTAGACTGAAACGACAAGAAACCGCTCGACGTTTCCGATTAGTTCAGCACTTCCTAGACAAACGCTCTAAACCTCCCATTAATTACAAAAGACTCATATACTTGACTATAATAAGACCTATTTGGACTTACGGAGTTGAGCTATGGGGCTCCACTAAACCATTGCATTCCTCTCGTATCCAATCCTTACAATCAAAAGTCCTTCGTAAAATCCTCAATGCTATTTACGTTGTCAAAAATAAAATCATCCACATTAGCTTTAATGTTTCTTATGTATCAGATCTGGCCCAATCCAGATACCTATCCTTCCATAATAAATTTCAGAATCATCGCAAACCTCTCGTTTCTGACCTTGCTTCTTCTTCAATTCCTGGTAACCCTCCGTGGCGTCTGAAAATAAAATGGCCACGTGATCTCGTAATGTATTTCTTTAATACATTTGTAAATACCATTAAGATATAAAATAAAAAATCAAAGATGGAGAAATGGCAACAAAAAAAATAAATGTTTTTTCTGTTGGCTTTATAGAGCTTGTTGATATTTATCTTGGGCATTTTAGTTTGTTTTATGCAGACTTTGCTCTATTGTTGATTCTATCTATCCATTTGGTTTATGACATTTCATGTGGTAACTTTACAACTCTAGAGACATTCATAGTTGTGCAGTGTCGTTCTGTTGGATTGCTTTGAGCTACATGCCCCACATTATCTTTACCTCCTTGCCTTCATATCGTGAGATTTTGATTGACTAGTTCCTGTGAGCGGTTATTTACAGGTCCTTTTCGTCTAAAGTGACTCTGGTCCCAGATCGTTCAAGTCATTATGTCTGAATGTTTGAGTTTTTATTCTCAAATCTTTCAATGCTTCTATAAAGGTTGTAGCTTAGTTATCAAATTTCAAATGAATGCAATATCGAAGGTGGCCAGTTTTAGCAAAAAAATGTTTATATTGAATATTTAATAGTTGACCGTTGCATTATAAAGTAAGGAGATGGTCCGGGGGGGGGAGGGGGTGGTCATAAATAGGCTAAATAGTGGCAAAACTATTTTCGACGTTTCGACCCGACTTGTTGCCATCTATTTACTTCAGTTTATGATCTTGTTACTTAGCTTACTCTGTTTATATTTTAATGTTCTTACTGTTTATAATTTCAATAAGCTTATTCACATTTTTTATAATTTTCTGTCTAAATATTATGTGACATCCACAATTCTCTATCTTTTCGTATCTTGTCCGTTCTAGCCCTTAAGAAAACCTGCAAAGTCGGGTTAAAACGTTGGCTTTTAATAGAATAGTTTTGCCACTATTTAGCCTATTTATGACCGCCACCCCGGACCATCTCCTTCCTTTAAAAAAATGTTTACTTGTTAAACTCGTTTTTTTTTTTTTATAGTATTGATTATTGATCCTTAACTATCTTTTACGTTATAAAACCTATTTAGCACTTGTTATTTAGTTTCTATAATATAATTTTTTCAAATAGTGCTGATGAACTCCGAGGCTAGTTGGCATATCCTGATTGTTAGGATTTTGTGTTCTCCAAGGAATTACAAGATTAAATTATGATAGTTTGGATGAAACATCAAAGGGTTAAAAGTGTTGCCAATCAGCCCCGGACTTCCATAATTAATTTTTTCAAATGATATGGTTTGTAAATGGTCCTTTTCTGTTTAACTTATTGAAAAAGTTACAGATACTAGACGATGATATACAGCCCTTTCGAGTAAAACGTTGATCCTCTCTGTCAGAAAGTATGTATGCGGTAGGGGAATTAAGCGATAGATGTGAGGAAGGTATTTCACTGCCTACGGAAGGCTGGATATAAGGATCACGTCTTTTCTTCCTTGATATGATTTCCCACGGGCATCTCACCGGGCTAAGCTGCCCTCTTGTTATCGCAGCTAGTCAAAGCAGAGCGGGAAAACTGACTCACCTTCTCCAACGCTTTTCTCTTATCTTTAAGTCGGAAAAATTATTCTTTCCATTAAACTTTATTCTATACGGTACCGCAGGACGATTCTAAACCGCAAAGTTAATACAAAATTCTTTTTTTAAATTTAGTTTTTGACTAAAATATATCAATCAGAGAGTGGGCCAAGGGACACAGCGGCATCACTGGAAAAGAAGAAGCGGATAGCTTGGAAAACCTTATCAAAACGAAACATTTTATTTTTTTTATTTTAACTATTTATTCCCACACCCCGATATTCTTAACCCAAATCACCTTGAATGTATTGAAGCAGAACTGGATATCCCACTCCAAATGTCTCTTCCACCTAAAGCCTTTCATCCTTCAGAAATATCCGATATCATTCAATGATTACCTTCCCGAAAAACTCCTGGACACGACTTAATTACATCCCAGATCCTAAAACTGCTTCCTCGGAAAGCCATTCTATTCCTTACTTATATATATATATATATATATATATATATATATATATATATATATATATATATATATATAATGTTATATATATATATATATATATATATAATGTTATATATATATATATATATATATAATGTTATATATATATATATATATATATATATATATATATATATATATATATATATATATATATATATATATATAATCCACATACTTTTCTGACCCTTGGAAATTATCCATTATAAAAATGATACATAAACCCAAAAAGCCACCAAAAAATCCATCCTCCTATCGCCCTATCTCCCTTTTACCCATCCTAGACAAAATCCTGAATTTGCTGAATGTATTTTTACTAGTAATACAGTTGTAAATATCATCAATAAAATAAAAAAACTATTTATTCAAGATATTTACAACTGTATTACAATATAAATACATCAAGTAAATGTGTACACAAGAATATAATCACTTTTATGTGCGTTTTAAGAATATAAACGCTTCCTGAGAAACTACCCACAGGTAGCACTCTAATAATATGTCAACATAAGGAGATCACGAGGCCATCTTCTTTTCAGAGGGTTATCATGAATGTAAGAGGAAGCAATGTTAGAAACGAGAGGATTCGGATGGTTATGGATGGATATTATATTATGGAATATTATATTATATTATGGAAGGATGGGTATCCGGATTGGGCCAAATCGGAATCATATGGAACATTAAGTTCATTATGGATGGTTTTATTTGTGACAAAGTAAGGAGCATTGAGGATTTTACGAAGGATTTTGGATTGCAAGGATTGGATACCAGAGGAATTTGATGGTTTAGTGGAGCCCCATAGCTCAGCTCCGTAAGTCCAAATAGGTCTTAGTATAGTCATGCATATTAGTCTTTTGTAATTAATTGGAAGTTTAGAGCGTTTGTCTAGTGAGTGTTGGAGTAAGCGGAAACTTCGAGCAGTTTCTTGCCGTTTCAGTCTTGTATGCGGATTCCAAGTGAGACTTTTGTCCAGGTGGAGTCCAAGATATCGTATTTGTTCAACAGTGTTAAGGGGGGGGTGTTATTAAAGGATACTGTAGGACAGGAAGTCGTAGGTTTACGATGAAGGGAATCCTCTAGTTTTGACGCCATTCTTCAAGGTTTGGGATGTGTGATTGAAGAGTTTGCGATGCAATTGATGGATCGTTATTAACTGATAAGATACATGTGTCGTCGGCATAAAAACGAAACTCAAAAATTAGAATTTACAAAACTATCATCCTACCTTCGATTCTTTATGAATTTGAAACGGCTTACGTGGCTTCTTACGTTAAGGGATCAACAGGTTTATGAAGCATCACAAGGTTTATGAAAATAAAGTATAGAGTAAAATCTTGTAGTATAGAAGAAGGATGATTGTACCGAAGAATTTAGACGGTTAAACGACGCTAAATTGCGTGAACAGTACGAGGTTTATATAATCAACGACATTGCGGAAAATAAATGGTCTTGTAAAATTGTTCGACTTAGTAACGAAAGAATTTCTAAGAAGTTAATATGCGTTATGCCGACTGATAAACGTCCGAGGGATAAACCGGAGCGAAGGTGGGAGGATTGCGTTAAAGCTGCTCCTGTGGGGATAGGTTTGGGTGGCAATCGGTGGAAGGAGGTGTGTAGACAGCGATTTGTGTTGTCGGTATCGAACTTTCGGGTTCGATTATTATTATTATTATTAGGTTATGATTGGAAAAATTCCAAACCACACAGCCATATGTCTCCTAAATGCAATTGTATACTAAGTATTGCATATTGAGTATGCGATAGGATGTTATTGAGTGATGTTCGATTAGCTGTCCTTTTTCTATCACGATGATGCCTGAATTAACGAAAAGTTACCGTTTTTTTTTTCTTTACCTGAATTTTGGATACATAAGGCTGTAGAATGTTTCCAATTGTACCCTAACATTTATGTTCTGTCTCCCGATTAGTTTAGTACTAATTTATTTTAATTATTATTATTAAATAAAATACAACTAGTGAATTTGAACAGAACAAGAATAATAATAGAAAGGACTTATCGAGATCATGTAACAAATTTTAACACTCCCTAAATAGCTCTAATATCCCATGATCTTCTTTTCAAAACCCTGGCAGGATTATCAGAGGTCGAGGAGAAAGCGAGGTTGGAATCAAGTGATTTCGAATTGGTCTAGAGGTAATCATTAAATGATAGGTATCTGGATCGGGTCAAATAAGCGACTTATTGAAATCCTGGAGCATTTGTCATGGGTGTTGTAGCTACTGGAAACATTGAGCATTTATGTTGTTTTAGTCTTGGAGAGGAAATCCAAGTAAGATGTTTGCCGAGGTGGAGTCCTATGAAGCGGGTTTGCTTAGTTGGAGAAATATTATTGGAGGATACTATATAGGACAATAAGTCATAAATAAAAAATTGACTTCAAAGTAGTAATAAGGTCCAAAGTGTTTTCTCAAATAATAAATATTAAGTTTGAAAAAAATTTATTTTCACTGATATGGAACAATTGATTATTTATTAATAGTTGTTTTGAAGTTTGTTAATAGTAAATCTGAATGAAAAAAAAATAAATAAATGGAATGACAGTCGGAGTTTGCTGTAGTTGATAAGCACGTGTTTTCCAACCAAATAAATAAAACAATTACGTTTTTTATATTATGAATTCCATATGGATCCGTTAATGCATGCAAAGTTTTAAAAGCTGTGGGAATTGCTCTAGCAGAGAATACATTTTATTCAGGAGGAGATATTTTAATATAAAAAGAGATGACATACTGTTTGGACATATTTTATATATAACTTGTTATCATTCGAAAAACATATTCTCTCCACATATTTTTTGAGGCACTTAACCACGGCAGGTTTGACGCCCAAGGGAAATCATGAGCCTTACGCCCTCGTGCCCCGTGCATACCCTACAATACTCCTTACGTATTTAATTCTGACAACCTATATTCAATCCTCCTCTCCTTCGGTTTCCTATTATTTCAGTCTTTTCTTTTTTTACGTTTTCCTTTAGTGATGTATATATATATCTTCTCCCTGTATATATTTAGCCGCAGCGATATTCAGAATACGGATCCAAACACTACGAACGAAAAAAAGAAGTTCCATTGTTTGTAAATATTTTATAAATAAAAAAAAATATACACTAAAATTAGACAAAATATTTTTTAATTGTCATTGGAAAATTCCAAATTAAAATCCTATTTTTTTTTAAATACCAGCAAATGACTAAATAGCAAAACTTTCCTCAATTCATCGAAGGATCATAAAAGTCCAAATTTAAATACCTGCTATGTATTGAACATAGCAAATGAGTTTTCAAAAATTATTATGACGTGTCTAAAACAAGGTTGAATGAAACCAACTTCTGACATCAAAACCAGCGTCGAGGGGGAGGAGAAGGTAGATAAGGACCGACCTGTACCTGACCCTGAGAAAGGCTTAAAGTAAAAACTAGTAACGGGCTAAGTAACTGGTTCCTTTTAGGGTGTTACCAGTTATTGTGAAGTAATAGCGTGAAGTTAAGAACCAATGGAAACCATCCTTGCCCCACTCACTGTCACTGAATGTCACTGAATATTTCTATAAAATCTCACGAGAAGAAAGAAATAAGGTCTTATGTTGATGTCCGGCCTTGAGAATAGGTCTTATGTTGAGTTACGGTCTTGAAGATGGGTCTTAGGTTTTCTTCCGACTTGGGGACTGAAGCCTTGGCCCTATATAGACCATGATGATCCTGGCAGAGCTTTGAACCATGACGAGATGATCTCGGATCAGCGATGACTTCTACCAACTACACCATTTCATATACAATAGATAAGTTTTATTCCCAACAATAAATTTACCAATGTCAGAATATTTCATGGCGATACAACTCTCAAAACAGTCCATCTGAAATCATAGTTAATTATTAAATTATACGAATCATATATTTAGTTTACAGTAAATAATATTCGCATATCAAGATTTCCATGTTATTTGTATATTATTCTTTATTTATTAAACATAGAAATAAATTAAGTTTTTTAGTAAAAGTTATTTAAATTCTACCACCTATTTATATCATGATGATCACAGGCAATGTTGCTAATTAGAAAGTATGATAAACACAAACCAGCCTTTGAAAAAAGAAATAAAATTAATTTATCATGGACCAAATATATTATAGATCCAACTTTTTTTAATTAAATTTTTTATTATTAATTTTTATTAAATATTTCTGGGTAATTATCATCAATAATTATCCAGTGGCATCCCGAATAAATTTCAACACCTCAAAACGTAGCAATTTAAATCCCGATAAAATTTAATACATCAAAACATAGCAGATCTCACTTCAGCAATTTATAAAAAAAACTATCAAAATAGATAAGGATCATTGCTGCAATAGATTTCACCATCAATATTCTCATTTTTGGAGTGAGTCTTTTACAGTTAACATAAGTTTTTGGAGTGTAAGATTATTATGTGATAGTAAAACAAACTAAAGTTGTTATTTAATTAATAATTTATTAATCCTAATGATCTTTTCGATTCATTGGTTTTTTTTTTGTAAATTTATTGTATCTTTTCTATTATTATTATTATTAAAACACTTTATTCAGAAATATTACAATTTGTCACAGTTAAGGACACTTATAATAGAGTTCAGAGATTGCATTCATACCGTATATACAAAAATATAAATAAATAAAGTAATAACAAAAGAATAAGAAGAAAGAACAAAAGAGTAAAGAAAAAAAATAATATATATACACATAAGTAAATAAAAATAGAAATAAAAGTAAAACAAACACCTTTTATAAAACATACATTATTTACAATTTGCCAGGTGATCTCCGAACCAATCCTGTCCCCTCCACATGTGGAGGGAAAAGGGAGGCCTAGGAGATCCCTACGCTTCTCCCTCAGCCACTTCACTGGTATTTTAAACCAGCGGAGGATGAGTAAGAGCGCTACAGCCACAGACACTCATGACTTGAGTGGAGAATCTGGCCATTGCTAGAACTCCAAAATATCCATATTTACAAAAGGTCTCGTGGCCACTGCCGCTTTAACCTACGAAGGGGATTGTAGGGATGGGTGGTGCTTGATAGGGATTGTACAACGGGATTTGGGTGATGAGAAAGGTTCTGGTGAAATTTGGAAAATTTGGCTGGGATAAGATCAAGAATAAATGGGATATTAAGGTCATGATGTAGGGTTTTATTGGTTACATAGAAGGGAGCATTGACTATTGTACGGAGGACTTTAGACTGAAAGGATTGAATGCGTTTGATGTTAGAAAATTTGGCTGTTCCCCATAGTTCTAGTCCGTAAGTCCAGATGGGTTTCAGTATTGTCTTGTAGATCAGTAATTTGTTTTCACCAGAAAGTTTAGATTTTCTATTCAGTAGTCTATATAGCTGGCCATATCGTCTGTTAAGTTCCTGTCTTTTAAGTCGAGTATGTGGATTCCATGTTAGTCGTCTGTCTAAGAGAAAGCCAAGATACCGGACTGTATCTGAGAAAGGAAGCTGGATGGAGTTAAAATAAACTGGTGGGCAGGTATTACGCCGAAGGGTGAAGGTAATGTGTTTACATTTAGATTCGTTTACCTTAATGCGCCATTTCTTACACCAGTGTTCAATCAGGAAGAGGTGCCTTTGTAAGTTTGCGGACGCTGTTTCAGGATCTGAGTTGGAAGAAAGGATAGCAGTGTCATCAGCGAAAGTTGCCAGGAGGGTATCGGGATGGACAGGAATATCAGCGGTAAAGAGAATGTAAAGGATGGGGCCCAAGACGCTGCCTTGAGGAACGCCAGCCTCAATTGAGTAACAGTCGGAGAATTCGGTGCCACAGCGAACTCGGAAGGAGCGGTCGGAAAGATAGGATCGGAGTACTAGGTATAAGGACTGTGGTAGATGGATTTTAAGCTTGAAGAGTAATCCGGCGTGCCATACCCGGTCAAAAGCTTGCGCTATGTCCAGAAATGCACCCGAGCAATACTGCTTGCTTTCTAGGGTTGAGGATATATGGTCAACAACTCGGAGTCCTTGCTGGACAGTGGAATGTTGGGAACGAAATCCGAATTGATGAGTAGGAAGGTTATAGGATTCAATTATAGGTAGGATTCGTTTCAGTAGGATCTTTTCAAAAATTTTTGAGAGGATTGGGAGTAGGCTAATTGGTCTATAGGATGCTGTATTGTTGGAAGGTTTGCCTGGTTTCAAGAAGAGGACGATGGTGGAATGTTTCCATAAAAGAGGGAAGTGGGTAGTTCGTAGGATGCAATTGTATATATATGTAAGAAATGTGATGGCTTTAGATGGAAGTTGTCGAAGGATCTGTGGGGTTAGAAGGTCATATCCAGGAGATTTGCGAGGTGTGATTTTCCGTAAAAGGTATTTGACCTCAGAGGGATTAACAGCTTTAGGTGGTAAGGAGAGTGGGATAGGTATTGAGAGGGATTCTTCTACTTTTACTGTGTGGCTGGGATGGGATTCTGGATGAGGAGCGAAAGTATAGGAAAGGTGTTTGGCAAATTCCTCGGCTTTATCTTCATCAGATGCTGCCCAGGAGCCATCATCTCGTCGAAGAGGGTGGGAAATATGATGGGATTTGAGGATTTTTCTGGTGATATTCCAAAGGGAATTATCATGAGCAGAGAGTGTGGTGAGGTAGGAATTGAATGATTGGGATCTGAAGGTGGCTAATTCTTTTTTTAATTTTTTACAGTGATAATTGTAGGAGTGGCGGTCGGCTGGATGTCTGGTACGTTGCCATAATAATCTGGCACGGCGTTTTATGTGGATTAGGTCAAGGAGGTGTTGAGGTAAATTATGTTTCTTAAGGATTTTTGAGGATGATCAGGGGAGGAAGCAGTCCAGACTGCTTCTTGAATTTTGGTAGTGAAGGAATGTACTGCATTGTCCAGGTCTTCAGAGGTTTTCAGGGTTACTCTGAGGTCAATTTTATCGGAGAGGATTTGATGAAAGAGTTTCCAGTTAACTGGGCCTCTGATGAAGGACGGAGGAGAGGGTTTAGGAATAGGAGCTAGTGATACTTGGAGTATTAATGGGCTGTGGTCTGAGGAAAGCTCGTCAAGACGGGCAACGGAATGGTTGAGAGCACCTAAACCATTATGGATAAAGAAATCGAGGATATCGGGATTACGGTTAGGATCAGTGGGCCAGTAGGTAGGTGAGTTGGGTGGAAGAAGGGTAAAATTTTGGGAATTGAGTACAGACAGCAATGTTCGACCACGAGAATTCGTGGTTCTTGAACCCCATTGTTGTATCTTTTCTAAGCATCATTCTATTTTCGGTCAGTTTTAACAGTCTTGGACAGGGCACAACTGATCTTGCTAATTATTTCACACTCTAAAAAAAATTCTATTTGTTTTATTTTGATATTGATTCCCACCGTTATCAAATCAGTCTTTTTTAATTTTGTGTTTTTTTAAGGAGTTAATTTTATTCAAATATCGAATATTCATAAAATTGGATAAATATATGAGCCTTATAGATAGAAAGAAAAAAACAACTTTATTCTGGGACAAAGTCCCTTTAGATTAACAAAATTGTACAAAATGAAAAGACTACTACTGGCCTAAAAGTGTGACATAAAATAAAAAAAAATAAACTAAAAAGAAAGAAAACCTTAAGCGAATAAGATATATACAAGGCAGATAAAGCTATGTACAAATCACTTAAAACTTTGAACTAAACAATTAAAAATATTAACAAAACCCTTAAAACTATAACAAACATTTAAAACTAAGAACAAAACATTTAAAACTATGAACAAAACATTTAAAACTATACATAATGGTAGAACACATCACAAACACACAACGAAAAAGAGACAAAATAGAATAAGTTATTTTCATAAAAAAAACTTTGCTTGTAGATATAAAAAAAAAGTT